TCGACTGCAGTTTGAATCTGGCCTCAGTAAATAATAATAATAATAAATGAAAGAATAAATGGAACTAGAAGTCCTCATTTATGCTAGGGCTGACACCATGCAAATTACAGGCCTGCAGAGGTGCCTGTGGTCTCTGGAGTACCCTCCCTTCTTGTGTCCTACCCCTCTCCACTCAGGTCTTGGGTTCTGATCCCAACCTCTATGCTTTTCTTTCTTTCCAACAGCCGTGGAGGGAAAGACCCTCTCTCTAGCCCTGGGGGTCCTGGATCTCGGAGAAGCAATTATAATTTGGGTATGTACAGAGGGACAGAGGGAAGAACGTGGATGATGGAGTGAGGGTATGGGCTGCATCCCCAGGAACTATTCTGGGAGACCTACGTGGTGTGGTGGGTGTAGTTCTAGCCGGGCTTTCCCGGAAGACTGCAAGGTGGTAGTTGACATCCTCCCTCCTTTTCTCTGCAGAAGGCATCTCGGTGAAGATGTTCCTCCGTGGCCGTCCCATTACCATGTACATCCCCTCTGGCATCCGCAGCCTTGAGGAGCTGCCCAGTGGCCCACCCCCAGAGACCCTTAGCCTTGACTGGGTGTATCCTGCCCCCTCCAGTCCCATGGGATACCTTTTCCCTCTTCTTTACAGCTTTCTCCTGGGTCTCTGGGAACAGGGAGCCTCTGAATCTCCCCTATCATCCTTCTGCCAGTGGCTCTGCCAGCCAGACTCTGTCTTTCGCCTGCCCTTGATCCGACTCTTTCCTTGACTGTGATCCTCACCCCAGTTATGGCTACAGGGGTCGTGACTCCCGCTCTAACCTGTTTGTGCTGCGCTCTGGGGAGGTGGTCTACTTTATTGCCTGTGTGGTGGTGCTGTACCGGCCTGGGGGAGGCCCAGGGGGTCCTGGAGGTGGCGGCCAGAGACATTACAGGGGGCACTCAGACTGCGTTCGATGGTGAGGGGCCTGGAGCTTGGGGATGGAGGGTTTGGTTGGAGGAGGTCTGGGAGGGTGTGGAGGAGCTGCCTTACTGTTCTGCAAACCTAGAGAAGGTGTCTCAGGTAGCCTTGAGAATCCTCTTCCCTAGAGCGTGTCCTCCCCACTTAGCCTTGCCGTTCACCCTGATGGTGTCCGCGTAGCCTCAGGACAGACGGCTGGAGTGGATAAGGATGGAAAGGTGAGGCCCAAGTCAAACTCCAGGCAGAAGGATGAAATTTCAGCTCAGCTTTGCTTCCCATCCCTGACCCCTTCTCTTCCACCAGCCCCTGCAGCCTGTGGTTCACGTCTGGGACTCAGAGACGCTGCTGAAGCTGCAGGAGATTGGACTGGGGGCCTTTGAGCGGGGTGTGGGGGCTCTGGCCTTTTCAGTTGCGGTGAGCTGGCCCCAAAGCCTCTAGACCCCTCAGTCTTGCCCAGGAACCCCACTTCTGGGCTGTGCCATGAAACCTCGAAAGTTCTGGCTTTCCTGAACCCTTCCCAGTTGTTTCTCTTGATAAAGGGACATGTGTGAACTTCTGCCCTCCTGACCTATGATGGCACCCCCTGCCTAACTGACCACCAACCCCAGGCCTCCAGGGCTTCCTTAGCCCCACTGATGTGTCCTCCCTTCCTCAGGACCAAGGTGCTTTTCTCTGTGTGGTGGATGATTCCAATGAGCATATGTTGTCAGTGTGGGACTGCAGTCGGGGAACGAAGCTGGCTGAGATCAAGGTGAGGAGTCTCGGTGGCCTGGAGGGGCTCTGAGGTTGGAGGGGTGAGAGTGATAGTGTGCAGAGAGCCCCAGACTTGCCCATAACTTATTTTCTGGCTGAGTCACCGGGGACAAACCTCGCAGCTTCTCTGAACTTTGGTCTTGTCATCTATGAAATGGGGACTATGAAAGTTCTGTCCTCATGAAAGATCATGTATTTGGTAATCAATCATGAGTGACAGAGACTCATGCTCATAGGGGACCAGAGCCTTGAAGAAAGGGTTGTGTTGGGGATGGCAGGCATGGTGAACTCCCACATGACCAACCATGGTTCAAGTTTGGGACCTGGCGGCTTGCTTTCTCATTTTCTCTCTTTCTCTCTTGCTCTGGTCAAATTGGAAAGTAAGTAAATAAATAAATAAAGTTAAATATCAAATTGGAAAGTAAGTAAATAAATTAATAAAGTTAAATCAAATAATTATTAAAAAAAAAAAAAAAGAAAGAAAGGGTTGTCCTGGAGTTTCTGAACTTCTGCAGGCCAGCTGTCAAGATGCAAATTGAAGACAGTGAGTAGAATGAGGGTGCTCAGGGTTTGGGGTGGCTGATTCTAGTGTCTTCCCCTCAGAGTACGAATGACTCAGTCCTGGCCGTTGGCTTCAGCCCTCGTGACAGCAGCTGCATCGTCACCAGTGGGAAATCACACGTCCACTTCTGGAACTGGAGTGGAACAGGGGTTCCTGGGAATGGGACCCTTGCCCGGAAACAGGGTGTCTTTGGGGTGAGATGGGGATGAGTGAAAGGTGGTGGTGGCAGACAGAGGGAAGTCTGAGCACTGTGGACCCTGAGGCTCTCCAACCCCCACCTGTCCCGGGGCTTTTAGTATTTGCCCTTCCCTTTGACCTCTGCTCTCTGCTCCCTTTCCCCCTTAGAAATACAAGAAACCCAAGTTTATCCCTTGCTTTGTGTTCCTGCCGGATGGAGACATTCTCACGGGGGACTCAGAGGGGAACATTCTCACCTGGGGGCGGAGCCCCTCAGATTCCAAGACGCCAGGAAGGGGCGGAGCCAAAGGTAAGTGCTGGTGACCTCTGGGAGGTCTAGTGACCCAGTGGGTTTGTGGGAACAGAGAGGATTTCCCAACTTTTTACCTTCAGAGTTCACTCTGGGGGTTGGTCTAGAAGGGTGGGGGGAGGCATGGCAAAAGAGAAAAGGCTGGGCCTTTGGGTCTGCCAGATCTCCAGTTCAAATAACAGTGTTGCCACTAGTGCCTGGCTTTAGGAAGTTACTTGCTTCTCTGAGCCTTCGTTGTCTTGTCTGTAAGGTAGGGAGAATAATAGTAGCTGTACTGGCTGGGGCCAGCAGGTGGTGTGGTAGTTAAGGGCACTGGACTTCTACATGGCCAACTGCGGTTCGAGTCCCAGACCTGGCAGCTTGGATTCTTATTTTTCCCTCTCTCTCTCTGTCCCTCTCTGTTCAAATTTAAAAAAATAAGTAAATAACTTTTAAAAAGTTAAATAAAATTTAAAAAATTGAAAAACAAATAGCTGTACTGGCAGTTGTGATCAGAGATAGTATTCCATAGGTGCTCCATAGCTGAGAGTAACTGTGTGGTTGTGAGGGCCTGCGCTACCCTACTCCCCTGCACCCTGAAGAGCATGACCCACCTGGAACTTTGCCAACAGAGACCTATGGGATTGTGGCCCAGGCCCATGCTCACGAAGGTTCTATCTTCGCTCTGTGTCTCCGGCGGGACGGGACAGTGCTGAGTGGTGGCGGGCGGGACCGCCGGCTGGTACAGTGGAGTCCGGGATTGGTGGCCCTCCAGGAGGCTGAGGTGAGGGCTGGGCTAGGATCAAGAGAGGGAGCGGGGGAGGAATGGTCAGTGGGTTCTTGACATTCTGCCACCATTCCACAGATTCCGGAACACTTTGGGGCCGTAAGGGCCATTGCTGAAGGCCTTGGCTCTGAGCTGCTGGTGGGGACCACGAAGAATGCATTGCTGAGGGGAGATCTGGCCCAGGGCTTTTCCCCTGTGATCCAGGTTGGGGGGCCTAGGGCTCAGGGAAA